GAGGGCGCCACCAAATTTTGAGGACACTTTTTTAATTGGCTCAAAGAGAGAAGTGGCCCATCTTGTCTTATACTATCTTTGGTTAAACTATGTTTACAACAAGCAAAGATCGTACCATCTTTGCTGCTGCAAGTAAGATACTCTTCTCAAAATATAGTGGTATGTTTGTTGTTTTGAGTTTTTGGAGAGTGGGGGTTTGTTGTTGTTTTTATTTAATTTGTTGTTGGTGGTGGTGGTGGTGTTGTTGTTGTTGTTGTTGTTGTTGTTGTTGTTGTTGTTGCATGTTGTTGACGTTGTTGTTGTTGTTGCTCTTTTGTATTTTTTTTGGGGGGGTGGCTGCTGTTGTTGTTTTCGTTTTAAACATAATTACAAGCTAGAAATATAAATTATAGTTGTAACTAACCATAGCCAGGGGTTGATAGAATTATTCTGGCATGACCCAAGAGGTTGTTGCATCTTGGTCAGTAAAACAAATCTCCACGCCCAACTCGCATGTATGTCTGGATTGGATGATTTTGCCATGACCTTATGTACTGCAAATGCTTATCATAATCAGTTGCAAATAACAAGTGATTCATCATGAAGAAAACAACAGGGTCGCATACAAATAGGCATAATATACAAAGCAGGAATTAAAAAGTATTGGAAGTGCCTTGTCCTGTAGCTGCTGTGTCTTCAAAGTGGATGCGATGCAAATAGAATATTAGTCTATCGTCACAGTTATGAATAGGATGGATTTAATTATTATAAACATTTATTAACACTTTGGACTCATAGCTGTGGTTTGGGGGCTCTCATGGCCTAGAGGTAAGGTGTTGGCCTCTCATTCAAAGGTCCCAGGTTCGAATCCGGGTAATGACCGAAAAATTTTCTTCTCTAAATGTGTCTCTTTTCACCTCCTTTCCTGCTCTCTAGCAATGTTCTGCCGTCTGCTTTCGTCCCCTCTTTCTGCCCCCACTCCCTCATCTCCTTTGCCCCCCTCCTCTGGGCTCCTGATTCTTTCTACAGCCTTTCTACTGCTACTCCTTGGCTTCTTTTTACTGCTGTCTTTCAGCCTCACCCCTGATATTCTGGTAGGAAAGATCTACACCTAGCCTTCTCGGACAAGGGCGAAAAATCTCGGAGGGCCCGTGTGCAAGTTGCGCACATTAAAGATCCCTTGGTGGTCTAAAATCGATAAGAGTAGGCTTCGGCCGCCACCCGGGCAAAATTCAAAATTTTTTACCAACTGAAAAAGTTTAATGTGTCCCGCGCGCTCATATGACCTTATGCAGTTGCGAGCGCCGTAAAACACTTACAAAAACAAAAAACAGCTGTGGTTTTATTTATCTTTTTTATTGTTTTCGATTTGTATTTGTTTTTGTTGGGGGGTTTTTAGTTTACGCCTTGTGTCTGCCTGGTCGAGAGGAAAGACAAGAAGAACCATGTCGTCACAGCATGCAAGAAACCCTCGACGAGATCACCGATACTATACATACACAGTACTGGGACAAACCCTTCGTTTTCTATGGACACAGGTAATTGCCTTAACTCTAATTTACCCAGTTTTAGCAAGCAGGGGTTGGGGGAAGAGAACTTAAATGTTACTGTGTTTCATGAAGGAACATTATCCTACACCAAGCTAAGCCATGCAAGCAAAGAATCATTGCGGGCTGTTGGCGGATGCTCTGGTGTTGTTTGCTTCTTCTTTCCTATGAAGCATCTATCGTCCTTATCTCCCCTTCTTCTTTCTTATGCCTGTTACTCTCTTGCAACACCTCTAATCCTCATGCGCTCATGACCTTATGCAGTTGCAAGCGCCGTAAAACCTCTAATAAAACTAAAACAATCATTGATGCAAGTTTAGATCTTGTCCAATAATGTAATTTCTATTCTCTGTATAAATATAACTTAACATTTTTTTCCATTTTGCTTCTTTTATTCGAGTTTGTTTTGTTTTGGTGGTTATTTTGTTTGTTTCTTTGTTTTTATGTTTGCCCAAGACTCATTTGTTTAATTTTTAATTGTCGATCTAGTATTTTAGTAAGTACTGATGATTTTTCTTTCACTGCTGTCCTTACGTGCATATCACTAATGTAGGTCTATGTTTGTGATGGTTCGTTTTTATGTGATTGAAATGTTTTTTGTTGCTACGATACAATATTTTGTCCTGCCTGACTGAATTATTACTTTTCAGTGGTCATGTGATGTAAAGCGCACGATAAAGCTTATACTCGTAGAGCGCTTTATGAATACAATCTATTATTATTATTATTATTATTA